AGAGAGAGAAATTTTAATATTTATTTTTTAGTTCTCGGCGTACACAACATCTTTGTTGGTATGTGGTGCTGAGGATCGAACCCGGGCCGCACGCATGCCAGGCGAGCGCGCTACTGCTGAGCCACATCTCCAGCCCCAACAGTCAGATCTTGAAAAAGAACAATATCAGAAAACTTTCTACAAAACTTACAGTAATCAAAATGTATGGTACTGGCACAAAGAATGACCTCCATTACACAGTGTATACCTGTACTGAAAGATCACATGGTGCCCCATAAATATATGCAATTTTTATGTGTCAATCAAAAAAGAAAAAAAGGAGATTTATAGAAGAGTGGAATAAAAGTGAAGATTCAAAAATGAACCCATGAATGTAAGAAAACTGATTTGTTGTAAGTTAAACTATACTTCACACTATGTAGAAAAGTTAATTCAAGGTGGATCAGTGATCTAAATGTAAGACTAAAACCATAAAGATCACCAAAAAAAACAAGGATAATTTTTTTTACCCTATATTTGACAATAACCTCTTACATAGGATGCAAATAACAAAAGAAAAGCCAGATATATTGAACTTCACTTTTGTGCTTAAAATAACATCATCAAGAATGTGAAATGGAAACTTTTATAATGGAAGAAAGTATTTGGAAATCATATCTGATAAGGTTTAAAATCTAGAATCTAAAACAACTACAACTCACATGAGAAAAAATTTTAAAGATGGCTTTGAAGACCTAAATAAAATTTTCTCCAAAGATATACAAATGGCCTCTAAGCACATGAAAACATCTTCAGAATCTTTAGTCATTAGGGTAATGCAGATCCAAACCACAATGAGGTACCACTTCAGACATATCAATTTGATCATAAAAATATAATGAAAATAATGAACTACAGCAAGGATGTGGAGAGATTGTACCCTCATATGTTGCTGGTGGAAATGTGAAAAATAGTTCCTCAAAAAGCTAAACACAGAATGACCAAGCAATTCTACCTCCTTAGTCATGTATCCAAAATAATTGAAAAGATGGCCTCATGCAGCAGATACTTGTATGCCAGTGTTCACTGCAGCATTCTTCACAATAGCCAAAAGAAATAGAACAATTAAAGCTTTTAACAACAGATATGGGTAAACATATGTGGTACAGACATGAAATGGAACATTATTCACCCATTAGAAAGGAATGAAGTTCTGCTGCATGCTACAACATGGCTCAACCTTGAAAACCTATGCTTAGTGAAATAAGACAGATATAATATATAGGCAAAATGTTCTAGCATAGGCAAATTCATAGACATAAAAGATATATTTGAGGTTGCCAAGTGTGGAGGTCAGGGGGGAGAGTCATTAGATTGTTTTATATGTCTATTTGTACACAAGTAGCAAATTTTACTGATTATTACAGCTTTGTAGTAACTTGAAATCAGGAAGTGGAAATCCTCCAATATCGTTCCAAGATGGTTTTCTGTGTCCCTTGAATTTCCATATAAATTTAATGATCCTTTCATAAATTTTTAAATTTCATTTCTTAAGCCCAGTTCTATCACTCCTAGATATGAGTCCTTTGAAAAATTACTGGTTTCATTTTCATCATACATGTAAAGCCTAACACAATACATGGCATATATTAAATGCTAAATACAGATTAAGTTGAGCATCTGTAATATGAAACTTGAAAGGCTCCAAAATCTGAAATTTTTTGAATAGCAACATGATTCCACAAGTGGAAAAATTCATACCTAATCTCAAGTGACATTGGTTCATGGTCAAAATGCAAGTAAACTAAAAATATTTTATAAAATAATATTTGAGGTATGTATATAATGTGCATGAAACATAAATGAATTTTGTGTTTAGAATTGGATCCATTCCACATGTTATTTCATTATGCAAAGAATCCCAATTATATGTGTGTGTATATATATATAACATTTGTAGTAATATTGCTAATATTATTACCACTACAATTCCAATGTGTAATGCCTTTTATATATTGACTAGAGTATAATAGAATTCTACCTCCAGAGTGTATTCTTTGTGAATGGATAGTATAGTGTAATGAAAAGAATGGTGTAGTGTAATGTAATTTGGAATCATTTTATGGCCTAGACCTAAGTTCGTAACTATTTAATACAGATAACATGTTGAATATCTCTACTAAATGATACCATGAAAATACAAATATCATTTTCAGAAATCAGTTCAAAAGTCAAAAGTCATAATTGGAAAATATATTATTACTTTGGTAATAGTATTTCAGGGAATAGAAAAAAAGGATGGCTGAAATAAGTGTATTCTTGAACAGTGTATTTTTTAAAATATAAACTGCTCATGACTGAGTTATTTGTGACATTATTTACTAGACTGTTTTGTTCATGGGATTTTTTCCTGGTATTTACATAAGCTTTTGTCACCTTTCTCATTTTTGGTCTTTAATATAATATGGAAGCCCTCCACATTTACTCTATTTTTAGCTTCTTGATCATATAGTTATGCTATTACTTCATTATTATACTATTTATATGCATATGTATATATGTCATGTCCATCGTAATCAAAGTGGGAATATGTTGACCCATACACATCACTTGTCCCACCTTTTTAACAGTCAAAACTATTGTCATTGGTTTGAATTTGATGTAGGAATACTAATCTGGAAGTTTACCTTCCCAACATCTTCATGGGATTAGGAAAGCCAGTTTTGAATACTATTAATTAGTGTTAACCAAGAGAATAGCAAATTGTTTGTGGAATAGAATTGAAGTTTATTATAGCTACTTTGTTTTGCTTTTTGTTCCATTAAGTCACCATGGCATCTTTGAATCATTATTTTACTAACATCTTGGAACTATTCCTGTAATCTTTTTTCTATTTATGTAACAGTTTTTATAGAACACGTTAATTAAAGCCAGTGTATTTTATAATGTTATGTATTTTTAAAATTTTTTATTTTGAAATAAATTAAAAAATTATGAATTACAGACCTAAGAGATTTCAATAGTTTTTGTCCTAATGTTTTCATTAATGTATACAATCTTAGCTTCTAGTTGAGTAATTTTAACAATTGAAAATGAAAGTATTTTTAAATGCTAATTTTGAACCTCTTACAAAATTTTTGTAACTTTCCATTTTAGTAACTTCTAATACTTCTCTTTTATTAGTTATCGTACTATGGTCTTGTATACTACATCCATAGTATGCCTTATATGAAGTAAATTAATTTGAAATTCATTTGTTTCTACCATTTAATCATGGCACTTTTAATCTAAGAAATAATTCTTAGTCAAGATCTTAACATTAGTTTCATTAGCAAGAATAAATAACAAATATTAGAATGTTTCAATGAAAATCATTTTGTTGAATTAATTTTTAGTGGAAACAAGAGTATTATTTATTTATTGGACTTTTAATATGTTGATTAGCCTTTATTTCCTTTATTTATTTATATGCTGTGCTAAGAATCGAACCCAGTGCCTCACATATACTATGCAAGCTCTCTACCACTGAGCCACAGCCCCAGCTCCTGTTGTTTTTTAATTTACATTTGTGAGAGGAAATATCCTAGGCTTTTCTTATGTATGATGCTCTTTTTTTGATATTGAGATAATTATGATCTCAGGATGAGTAATCAGAAGTTTCCTTTGTAAACACAGAAGTTGAAGAAAGTTTAGTGAATTATCTTGTATTTTAAGAGCCTGGAGCAACTGAAGGAGATATGTTGGGACCTCCAAATGCCCTGAATATTATTTAAATTTTTTCTAGTGGCCACATTTTAAAAACTGAAAAGAAGCAGAGGAGTTGGGGCATGGCAGCACATGCCTCTCCTGTAAACCCAGTGACTCGAGAGGCTGAGACTGGAGGATCTCAAGTTCAAAGCCAGCCTCAGCAATGGTGAGGTGCTAAGCAACTCAGTTTGAGACCCTGTCTCTAAATAAAATACAAAATAGGGCTGAGACTCAGTGGTCCAGTGCCCTGGAGTTCAATCCCTGGTACGAAAAAAAAAAGAAGTAGATGGATTCTTGGCTTTAATAATATACCATATATAATTCAATATATCCAGAATGTTATTTTTACATGTAATCAATATTTTTTTCAAATTAGTATTTTTATAATTTGTATTCAAATTCTGATATGTATTTTCCATTTATGTATACAACTCTATTAACTACTTCACTTACTAGTTACTTCAGTTATTTTTTAAAAAATTGCTCAATGTCTCCATATCTCAATTTCCTCATTTTTACAATAGATATAATTACAAGAATAAATTAAATAACATATATGACATGCCTGGCTTATGGTGTTATAGAAATATTTGTCATTTTCTAAAAATTATTTCAAACATAAACATGACATTAATGGCATCTCCATTTCAAGGCACAAAAAATATTTTAGGAATTAAATTATTTGTGACCCCTAAATTCTTTTCTTGTTCCCTTTGACAGTGCAAGGTACACACATATCCCTGTTTAAATTGTTTTTAAAAAGCAGAATCAACATTGGTTCATCAATTATGACAAAATACCATAGTAATTCAAGATGTTTAAAACAAGAAACCGGAGCAAGTTGGGGTATGAGAGACTATATCTCTACTTTCTGCTCAGTTTTTATAAGCCCAAATCTACTTTAAGAAGTACAGTTTAATTAATCAAACAAAAAGACAAACAACATGTCTTCTATTGATTCCTGAGACATGTTAGTTGTGATCGAAACCAGCAATAAAACTGGAAGCTTCAGCATTATTAAAACTATCAATAAGAGAAGTTTAGTTATGGATAAAAATTGAACTTAATGTTTGTTCTTTCAAAAGTCATTTTTTAATCTACCTCTTTTAAACTAATAAATGGAAAACTTTCTCACAAAATGTTTTTCTCTCTGGTTAATGAGCAGCTAGGCCTTGGACAATTATTGGTAGCACTCTGATGCTAATGCTATAACTCTTCCATATTTTTAATGCACTGTTGCTGGTTTTGAGAATATTTTCTTCTCCTAATTTCAGGTTGGGTGGGACTATATCAGCATACAAGATAGTACCAGACGAGATAGAAGAAATCAAGGTATAGTATGGCACTTTTCACCTCTACAAAGGCTTAGTATCTTATTGGGAAGTTGGGGAAAATCTTGTTTTTCCTATATATCATTGAATCTTTGGGTATGTTAGGACACCATTAAGTTCCCCGTTATTCTATTTGAATTAAAAATGTATATATAATAAATAAATTATCATCAGATATCATCTACCATTTGCAATGCATTTCTGAGAAAAATATTAGGAGAATCAAAAAGTAATCCTTTCTTATACAGTTCTTTGAAAATCTACATAAGAAGCATTATAACCATTAGTGTACATGATAGATTATCTTTTAAAAATCTTTTTGCAATTTCTTTTTCCTATAGCCTTTACTAATTATAAAATAATAGCAATCTTTTAGTAAATATCTCCTGGTTCCTTTTAAAACACAAATGCCAATTTCAATTCAAATTTATGTTATAATAAATAGAGAATTGACCTTATTCCTTGAAAATTAGGTCATTACTATATTCTTCTGTCTGTGGAATATTAATCATCTAGCACAGCATGTTGCCCTTGTCTAAAGGCAATTTACCACATATTGAGAATTGAACTTCCTGTTTCATATATGAAATTTAACAATTGCATAACAATAGTCAGAGCTAAACCATACTACTTAAGTTGTTGAGTAGATTTATTGCATAATAAAGATTTCAATAATCATGCATAATTCAATTAAAATTTTCAATATCACGTTCTAGCATTAAAAGTAAGTTTCAAGAGTCTCATTCCAACTTCTGTAAATTCATATAGTTGGAGGAATCAACTGTGAGGAAACTTGATCCTAATTTACATTCCTCATTTTACAGATTTAGAAATGCAAATGTACAAAGATGAACTTTGGATTATTTATTTGACATTCAATAATTATTTCAGAAAATGTAATTGTCATTAAAGGATGAGAAAGACATTAATATATTACATCTTGATGTATACTGTATAATTACTCAAAAAAATTTAACTTCAGAATTAATCTATATATACAGAAAGAGAGAGAAAGCGAAGGGGTCTTATGAAACATTTATAGGAAATACAGTTGAAGTGCATTTTTCTTGAAGGGGCTCTGTCTTATAATACAATTGAAATAGGTATTAAATGATAAAGGTAAACAAATAATTTTATGCTAACACATAGAAAGGTAACCTGGCTGTTTCAAAAGGTGATCAGCAAAACGTCTTTCCAAGAGGTAAACTCTGGGGACAGGAATATAGCAGTAGAACACCTGTCTAGCATACATGAGGCCCTGTATTCAATCCCCAGTATGAGAGGGAGAGACAAGCAAACAGGCAGGCAGTGATATTTATGAGAACATAAATATGACATAATGTAGCTCCAGATTGAATGATATAAAGTAAGTTCCGGAGAAATATAGGGCTAGAAGTGGCTTTGTGTCATGTTAAGAAGTTTAGATTTTATCTTGAAAACCTAAGGTGCTATTATGTACTCATTTAGGAGTTTAGGAGAAAAAGTAACATTATCAGTTTGGTAATTTCTTTAAATATTTTTCATGAAGATTAAGAAGTGCTTTCAGCAAAGAAGATATTCTTAGTAGGAAGAAGGAAACCAGATTTTAGGAATGTAGACATAAAATGATTAATATCTGTACTAAAACTGTGGCAGTGAAGGTTGAGGGAAAAAATGGATGCAAATAATATGATTTAGATCATGGGTGGTTTTGCTCCCCTGTAATCACAGCTACTTAGATACTGAAGCAAGAAGATCACAAATTCAAGACAAACCTGGTTAACTTAGTGCGGCCGTCTCAGCATAAATTTAAAAAGAGCTCGGAATGTATCTCAGTTGTAGAGTGCACAAAGATCAAAAGTTTGAGGCCAGCCTGTGCTACCAAGATTAGATATAACACCAGTAATTTATGGAAAAAGCATGTCAAGCATCATCACAAATCATTTTTTAAAGGAATTTTCTGAGAGACAACTCTAGAATTGTTTTTAGAAAACATAATGAAAGAATGCTCTTTTAGTGAAGAGTCATTATTAAAAGGTAAGCAGCATTTCTAAAAATTAATTAAACTAAACTAATTCAATGAATATATTAGTTCTCTGGTTTTAGGATGTGTCTACATAACGGCTACAACCTCAGTCAACAGTTATTCCTTTATATAGCAGTTACATGTGATTCTCTGTGTTCACTAGCATGACCTCAGCTAACTGTTATATGATTACAGATTCCAATATCAATCACGGAATTTTATCTCTCTCTCTGAGTTTCTGCCAGATTTATCCAATGATTTAGTGAATATTTGGTTATCTGAAAGGAACCTCAAATTCACTAGAACTAAAAATTATCCTCTTGGTTCTCAAAGTATTCCTTCTATTATATATCCTCTCTATCAGCATTATATATGCTCAGACTTCCCAAGCCAGAAATATGCTCCAACTTTTTCATCTTTTCCTAAATATCTAACAAATCAAATATTATCAATTCTACTTTTCTTCAATTACATACATACACGCACACACACACACACATACAATAATGTCAGAAAGTTTGAACCCTGAAACATACAAAATATTGAAGCCATCTTACTTTTTTTCAATATTGGGGAAAAAACTGTTACAAGTATTTTGTCTATTACATGGCATTATTAGTATTTTCAGTTAAAATCAGATATAATCTTTTTTTGTCTCAAGGAAATGGAAACATGGATGAAATAATGAGTGTAGTTGGAAAATATCTGAATAATCTTAAGTTATATAAATAATACAATTGAATTTTAAGTTTGATTTGCTGTGTATAATAATACTATGTATAAATAAATATACATTTATATCTTTCCATAGAATAGTGTGATTGATTGATGAAACATAACTCAATTTTTGTCAGATGTGGTAATCTTCCACAATGTTTCTTACTGCAGAAACCATTATTTAGTTCATACGTGGCACATGTGTAAATTGTTCTGGATAATATTATAATAAGTTGATCAAATTTCAAAAGTAAAGACTTCCAGTTCCAGCCGAGATAGAATGGCGTTATTCTTCTAGATTCGTTTTCTTGTATCAGGAATCTAAAATTTCCTGGGCATTACCAAATAAATAGAGAAACTCTTAAGAGGTGAAAAGAAAATGGCAGTTTGTTGAGGAACCTGAAGACTTAAGAAATGATATGGCAGTGAGTTCCTTGGGTTTTTTTACTATTTCCTATATGTTCTGGACAGGGTACTGAAGAAGACTTCAAGTTGGAACCACCAATAGGTATAGAAAAAAAAAAAATGCTCCAAGAAAAGCCTCTTTATCTAGCCAAAAGACCAAGACAGGAGGCACCTAACAGAATAGAAAAACTTTTTAGCAATGTTCACCCTACTCTATCAAAACATCAATGGTGGAACTACTTAGTTCTCTCACAGATTTAGCAGAGCCAATCTAAAATTGATCTTCCGATTCACTTCCTGTTGTCCCATGAAGCAGCTCACAGGTTTCTTTATCCTTTACCTTGTGATGTTGGCAGACCAGGGAGATATTTTTTCTTCTTTCATCTGGAAGAATAGTTGTCACACTGAGTCTTTGGCCAGAATATTGTAGCAGTGCTAAGCAAGAGTTGATCTGCCATCACCATCCCAACAGAAATAGGCTATGTTCTATTTCTCCCAGCCAGGTAGTGTCACTGGTATCCAGTGATTAACAGAGCCTCCATCCCCTCTATTATGACTTGAATATGTCTCTAAAATATTATGTGTTAGAAACTTAATCTCCAATAATCAGTTTTGGGTGATAGGACCTGATAAGAGTTGTTAAGGTCATGAGGTCTCCTCGCAGGTGAATGGATTAATGTTGATTATAATATGGCCAGAAACTATAAGTTCTATTTCTTACTCCTGCCACTTTCTCTTGGCACATGTGAGCATGTGTGCTATTTTGCCCTTCTTCCATGCGATGATGCAGCAAGAAGTCCCTTGCCGCATATGGATCCTAGATATTAGATTTTCCAATTATCCCAGCTGTGGGAAATAAATCTCTGTTTTTTATAAATTTTCCAGTCTCAGTTACTATATTATGGCAAAACTAAGAAGATGAAGACACCCAAGAAACAGAAAGAAGGTTAAATAAAACATTGCAAGGTGGAGTCAGACACTGCAATTCCACTTTTCCTTTCCTATTTCAGTGACACATGGCAGCGAGATAAGCTTTCACCCCTCACTACAACAAGAAACCTGGACAAGGTGGGGCCAATTGACACTCTACTCTACTCATAGTATGAGTCAACCATCTACTCTTCTCCATCATTGGGGTCAGCATATACTACTCCTTAGTATCAACAGTAGATCAAAGTGATGCCCACTTCACCATAAAATTCTTAGCAGGCCAGAAAGGGACATGCACTTCCACCTTCTACCTTCAAACAGGCAGTATGAATCAGCGCTTCAGTTTTGCCTGAATGGTCATTGAAGCCATCAAGAAGCTGAACATAAAAACTACTCCATAATATAGGGAACATTTGCTTTGAAAGAAGGTAAAGTAGTCTCAGAATATAAAATCCCAAACATCTTTGTAAAATAAAAAATCACTCATCATACCAAGAACCAGGCAGATCACAACTTGAATATGAAAAATGATCAATAGACATCAACACAATTATTAATTAAATGTTGAAACTGACAAGTTATTTAAGCCAGCTACCATAAAAATACTTCAGCAAGCAAATGAGTTCTCTTAAAACAAATGGAAAAAAGAAACGACAGGAAATATTGATGAAGCAACTACAAAAAGGAACCAAATGGCAGTTATACAACTGAAAAATACATTCACCAATATGAAAACTCACAGGGCAGAAACAGAAAAAGTGACATATTTTTCAGACGCTAGAGTAAAAAACTGCCAACCACAAATTCTATATGCTTTGAAGTTATCCCTTTAGGAGTGAATAGAAAGTGAAGCCATGTTCAAACAAAAGAAAACTAAGAGAATTTGCCTAGATAACTTACCCTGAAAGAACGGCTAAATAAGTTATCTAAACAGAAATGAAATA